CTGCCTGAGGCAGGACGACAGTAAAAGTGCAAGTACCAACTTAGGAATCTTTGTCCATTAGAACTTTGTCTAGAAGATAAAATGTTCACCTGTTCCTCTCATCTTTTAGGGCATTAGGAAAAACAAAAGTATGTAAAGTACTATATTGTGCTTCCTGGCTCTTTTCCAATTTTTAAGCTTATATTGAGATAGAAGATTTCAGTTGTTTCCATTTTGAATTAAGTTTGTTTAGGAATTTATTTAGCAGCTACTGCATAGAGTCATAAAATGGGAGAGGTTTATGAGCTAGGTCCCTGAGCTAGTTGTCTGAACTGCTTTAGTCTTGTGGGGTGGTAGGCTGCTCAAAGGGCAATTGTAAATGTAGCTGTTTCTAGAAATTGTAGTTTGGTCCATCATTTAAAGCAAATACTCCCTCTGGAATGTAAAACCAATGTTTTGTTTTCTATTTTAGAGAAACTGGGGGGTCTTACTAAGCCCTTGTTTTTAAAAATAAGAAAAACCAAGGTCAATTGCATTTGAATGCAGTTATTTTGTCTAATTTGATCTTAATTTGTCTAAATAACACATTTTGTCTTTATTCTGCAGAGTTGCCTAAAGCTGTTTGTTCTTAATTCTTTGGTACTTAAATCTGTGTTTTTCTGGACTCTTTGTTGCTTTGTTTCTCTGTCCTTATCTGTGATTGACCATAATTTCTCCCTGTCACATAACAGAGGGTTTTAGTTTGAATATACTTTTATTATGTAGGCTGATCTTGCAGCAAGTCTAATGGTACATATCAATGGCAGTGAAAAGGAGGAGGGCACTAAGAAGAAGGAGCAGTGGGGTGGGATCTCCAAGGCCATTGCAGTGCATAGCTTTACTATTCAATTAAAGGACATAGAAGTATTTCTCTCTAATGTTGCTGTAATATTCATACTGTCTTATTTTTTATTCTCTGACCTGTTATGACATCCTGAGGTGGTGGCAAGGAGAGAGGAGTTGAGTAGCTTTCATACTGACTGAGGTGGACAAAGATTTGCTTATGATAACTTCAAAAGTACTGCATGCAGCATAAAAATTATGAAACATTTATATATTTTCAAATTCTTTTTTTAGCACATTTGATATTTCTGGGTATCCTTTTCTTCTTGAAACAGTGTTTCACAATGCCCATTTCCTTTTGCCTTCATGCAGAAAGCTGTTAATAAGATTACACTGGCAGGTCCTAATTATGTTAATTTCATTTGGAGCAAAATGCAGATACCACAAGTGCTCTAGTTACTTGCTTACTCATAAAATGTTGAAAACCAGTTGTCAATAAGAAATTGTATTGTCATTTCAAATGAAAGCCATTGAAATCAGATGCAATTCCTTCTATCTATGATGGTGTAATTCACTGTATTATTTCAGCTTATAATAAATCTGCATAAGGATCTTTGGGCAGTAACAAGAGATTATAGTAAATCTCCAAATCAGAGCCTGAGTAAGTTGTTGGTTTGTTGCACAACCGTGTACTGTGTACTTTAGAAAGAAATGGAACGAGTTCTGGGAGAGGGGTGGCTGGAATCTTGCACCACCTACATTTACTTTGAAGATGTTAAAAGTGGAGGTGTTCTTGCCTCTTCTTTTAGAGGCTGGGGGAGTTGTATATTTTATTAAAAATTTTCTACATCATCTGATTCATGTTGGTAGCTCTTGGCAATGTCCTGAAAAGGCAGGCAAAAGCAATTTTAGTCTAACTTTTCCTCCCCCTCCCCCCTTGCATCTGCGTTATGAGGCAGAAAAAGTATTTTCAGTTAAGGATTCAGTTCAGATCTTGACTGTTTTATCACTTTGCACTGAAGTCTGGTGTTGCAGAAGCTATTTATGGTTTTTTCAATTTATTTATAAATTGAAGTTATAGAAGTGTGAGAGTTACTTCTAGGTAAGGTTAGTAATTAAGCACAAGCCTGTAAATGGTGTGTTTAATCCCTTTGACAGTAGCAGTAATCTTTCTCAGATGGAAGGGATCACAAAAATATCTCTGATTTTTTAATCTAGGTTATAGGCAGCACTCACTTGTGAATTACTGGAAGACCCTCCTGTTTCTATTCCATACAATATGCTGGTTTGTTGCCAGTGTTCAGCTCAGTGTCAAAAATGAGAGTTATGTTCACTATGGCTGGACCACGATGTAGATTAATGTCCTAGTTGAAAAGTTCAATGTAGCACTGTATAGAAGTCCCAGAGAATAGTGAGCATGAAGTATTGTAGGCTGTTACCCAGTAGCTAAAACTCAATGAGTGATCTAAGAGTCCTCTTACAGTAAAGCTTTTTCCTTTATTGCATGTGATGTGCTTCATGTACCCAAGTACCTCCCTATTCCTGGGCATTTCACATGCAGGAAGTGATTTAATTTTACCTCTAAGTACTCTTAAGAGATAAACCTGACACACTGGTTTGTGCTAATCTTTGTTTCACAGAGCTTAAGCTATACCACTGTTCAGTTTCTGTTCTGTGGGCAACTGGAAATCTCCTCAGTGTTGTATTCTCTTGGTTCTCTGTTGTGCAGGAAGTCCTACCTTTGTCTGGTCTGTAGTTGTGTTGTGTCCTTGAGGAAACTGGAACTGATGGTGAGCTGAAGTAGCTGTCAGGCTGGAGCTCTTCCCCCAGCTGCCTTTGGTGAATGGTATATCACACTGTTTTTGTAACATTTCCGAAGCTCCTCCAAGACTGTCAGCTTTAGTGAGAACTTCATAGTAAAGTTTCATCGAGGTTAACAAGGATACTGCTTCCTGTTGCAACACTGCTGAGAGAACAAAATTGTGCTTTTAGGATTAAGTGTGAATTATGAACACAAAATACAAAGATTCGAAGGATGCTATATAAAAGGGATTAATTCTGTATTTGTTGTGAAGGGCAGTAGCTCTATTTTAAAGTCTATTTTGCATCTCTATTAAATATTGTCCCTGCTCAATAAACCTTTTGAGTATGTGTTGGAATCTGAAGCATGTGCTTAACTGCTTTGCTGAATTGGGGCCTTCATTACCAAATTGCAGGTGTATGTTAGGTTAAGTATTTAAGGAAAAAAATAACTGTAAAACAATGCTTACTTTGTTCTGTTCAGTATGTTACATTAATGGAAAACATCAGAAATGCTATGCTGTTGCTATGCTGTCCCAAGCAACAGACTTAATATAAATGGCATGAATGTTCTGTATGAGATATGTTCTAGTTAAGAACAGACACGCAGTGATGAAATAAAAATTTGAAAATTGAAAATGAGAGTCTATTTTAGGGTTCATAATATTATTGCAGAATGTGGCTTTCAAATGTTTTCCTGGTTAAAAGTGTTTCAATTACAATTTTGAAAATTCTTACGTGGATATTAGAGCATTTATTAAACATGTGCAATAGCTGGGGCTTCATAAACATTAGCATAATAAACTGTTCTGTATACAAGGGTTTAATAACGTGGTTGTAAAAGTGTGTTTTACATATAAAAGTGGTGTACTTGTCTGCCAGAAAGCTTGGGCTTTAAAAATAAGTAACGTTGTTTAAAGAGAGCGATTAAGAAGGAAATGCAAGAAAAAGTGGCTGTGCCTAAGTCATTCCTGATAAATATTTGATCAATATGTTCTTTAACAAATAAATAATCCCCCACTTAGCTAGAAAAAGTAGCTCAGTGCAGGGTTAATCTAGTGTTCCTCAAGCCTGAACTTACACTTCCTGTCTGTTGCTGCATAAAATGTTCATACATATGATGAAGATGTGCTTTCCATGTAAGAAGTAAACCTGCACTGTGTAAACACATCAGTGTCACAGTGGTTTTGTTTTGTGGTGCTGCCTGTGAAGCTTCTGGAGCCCAAGACACCTTTGGAACATAGAAATCCTTTGTCATCTGTCACAAATATGGGCCTGTGACATGCTGTAGGAATTGTACATCTTTTCTTCTCCACTGACATAAAATTGGCTATAGCTATGTTGTGCTCAGTGAGACCACCAGATCTTTGAGAGGCATTCCTCTCTTTAAAATACTGGACTCTGATGTGAAATAGGAGAGAAGATGCATTCTGATTTACTAGAAATGCTATGAAATCTTGGAGATTTCTATGGAGAAGCTGAGAAGTACTTGCTACTCTTACCAATGCATCTTCTCACCAAGGCAAAAGTGACAAGTCCAGATTCAGTTGGCTTGTATGTCTTTTAGCTCTGAGATTCCTTAGGACAAGTTTGAAATTATACTAGGGTGCTTTTTCACCTTTATACAGACATGTACATTAATATAACTTACAAATAACCAACACATTTGTGCTGTGGTCTGGAGTAACAATATTTAAATTTAGTAGAAAGTTTTGGTGTTTATTAAAATATGGTTTTAAATCAGTTGGTTTTGTGACATTTTACATTAAAGTTCAAAATTAATATTGTGTACTGTGAGAAACATATTTAGGAGATATTAGTCTTCATATTTTCATTCAACAGTTAACCTTGGGTGGATTCATAGGTGAGAGAATAGTTATTCTGCAGATTTCTTTTTGTCTTTGCTGGTTATAAGCTGAAATCTGCCAGTGATATTTTGTGCAGCAAGGTATGTGAAATCAAATGAAGAATATAGGCCCTTGAAAATATGAGAAAAACATAGCTGAAAAACGCCAAATAATGTAAGCAATATTTGCATATTTCTTTTTAGCTATTGTAAATTAAGGCTTAATTTTCAGGGTGTAAATGTACTGAATCCAGACAAAATTGTGTGAGTTCTCATTTCGTCAATGTCTTTTTCTTACATTTTAGCTGTTTTATCAAGAAAGAGAAAGGAATTAGCTTCTAGTAATGAAATCTGAAAAAAATACATTTTTCTTTTTTTACTTCTTTTACTTGTTTTTTATTCCTTGCCTAGTACTCTTAAAAACACTGAAGAGTTTGGATGTGTTTGACATTAACCTGTTGGTGTTTACCAGGCATGAACTGTTGCCATTGTGCTGTTCCATAAACATTGGAAGGATAAACAAGTTACTTATAATTTTCTGTTGTCTTCCAAGGGACGTCAGAGATGGCTTCAGAAGGAAAAGCTTCTATTCTTCTCATTATGGGAGAGATCGATCCCCTCACAAGAGGGACTCTCCTTTCTTCAGGGAATCGCCAGGGAGCCGCAGGGATTCTCCGCACAGCAGATCTGGCTCTAGTGTCAGCAGCAGGAGCTACTCTCCTGAAAGAAGCAAAGCCTATCCTTACCACCAGCATAGCAGAAATATGTCGTCTTTACATAAAAGAAATGTTTCTTCTCAGCAAGGTAATGCTGGATTAATGATGGGAACTGGTTTGTGAGGTGAAACGGCAGCTCACTGTATAAGCCTTTTTTCCTTACATGCTCTTTTTCAAATTAGAAAAGCTGACATTTTGTGCTGTGTGGTGTCTGCTCTGGTTGCTTCATTGGACTCTCTGTTCCCTTATGTATTTCATGTGGGAGATTGTAGGTGTTATTTTGGTATCAGGTCTAGACTGGCTGTAGGAGTTTCAGTTGCACAGCTTTTTCTAGTATTTTATATTTTTAGCATCAGCTCCTCTTACTTCTTTATGTGCTTCATTGGATTTCCTGACAAGAAACTTTGCTTCATCTACAGGAGATGAAGACATTTCTTCCTGCAAGTGGAATAAAACACAAAAAGGGATTAAAAAAATGGAGAAATGAAAGAACATACTTCTACTTGTTTCATTTTCTCCAAATTTTACTAGACTTTTGAAACAGATTGTTTTTTAGCAATTACATTTCAATGTCAAAACCTCTCAGATCTTTCTCTCCTCAAAGAAATGTGAAGCATATCTCAGTTGAGTCTATTCTGACTTTTAAAAGCTTGGCTCTTAATGTTTCCCAGAAGTCTGATGAATCATCTGTTTTGAAAATATTTGAGGTTTCATATTTAAATTATATTGGGGGGGGGAGAAATTGCTTTTTTTAGTATACTACAATCTTAGCCACTCTGCTTGTACAGCTTATGTAAATTAATCCAATTTGATTTCCCATTCTGCAAAGGCTTTCTGGTGAACTATGCAAACCTACTGTTCATTTTGGCAGCTTTTTAAAAGTTAATTAGATTTTTTTTTCACTCACTGAGAAGGCACATTGTATTTCCAGAATGACACTGAACCATTATGTAGCACTTCTTGCCAAAAAAGATCTTTGTAGTTTTGTTAACATTGTTTAAATATCGAGGAATAATTTCACTCCTTACAGAGTAGAGATGGTCTTTCTATTTGGGCATTACAGTGCTTTCAACATTTTGTATCAATACTTAGTGAACATAAATTCCTCTAAGTGTAGGGGAGGAAGAAAAAAAATAAGATAATTAATTTTCTAGAAGTCTTGTAGGTGTGCAGCTTGTAATTGCTAGGGACAGGAAAACAATGTTGTGAGAAATCATACAAAATTTTGGGATGTTTCATGCTTTTTTAAAAATTTTGAGCTGATTTTGATCATATATATTCTAACCATATACTATATGGTTAGAATTACTCAGACAATAGTGGAGGTAGTGATGTAGAAGTAGATAGGAGCTTGGTTTTTGATATTTTCTCCTGTTTGCATGGTTTAATACCTTTCCCAGATGCCTTTAGGTAAGTTTTAAGACACCAGCTGAGTTGTACACTGGACTATTTCTTTCTTCCCTTCCCTGGAAAGGAGAACTACTAAAATGTCTCTTGAGATGACCGAATTAAAACACCTATTTGCAAGGTGTGAATTGTTTAAATAATACTTTTTAGAATAATTATTGGATGTGATTTGCCTTAGGTAAGCTCACGTATTGCACATTTAAAAGGAACATCAGTGGGACATCTCATATATGTAAGCAGTACATTTAAATGGATTTCCAACATGCAGAGTATATACTATTTCATGTGGAATTTGCAATATGACATCCTTCTAAAATATTATAATGCTGTTTAAAATCATGCTATCTCAATAGGTGTGGCCACATCACTTCCACTAAAGAAGAAATATCCCATGCTCTACAGCCCTTCATACATTAGGATAAATACAGAATTTAAACAAAGAAAACTGTGGGGACATGAAGAAGCTTGGTAGAGGGAGGGAAAGGGCTAATGGAAAGGGCAAGCATTCATCTGTGATGGGAGAGCATGGAGAGGAGCAGGATGGGATGTTTAATTTTACAGGTTGGGCTTTGGGGCTCAAAATAGCCACACACATTCTGAAAAAAATGGCCTAATAATGTATTCTAATTAAATGGTGGTTTTTCACTTTGTTTAACTTTGAATAATTTTCTGCCATTTGTATCAATTAATTTCATCTGTTCAGGTGCAAACATATAATCCATTCAACTGATAATAATCTTTAAAGAATCAAGTCTGACAAAGGAGCCATGTGGGAGACAGAGTTAGAGTAGTCCATGAATTTAGAAGGAGGTGGCTTGCCTGTGGGGCTGAGAAGCAGGTATCACAGGAGCAAAACTTGTGTTACTTAGTGGTAACAAAGGAGATGTTCTGTGCTTTGTTGCTTTGACTCATTAAATTAAAACCATATTTAAAGTCATAATGAACAATCCCATTTATAGTTCTACAAAAATAATTTCTATCCCAATTTTCTTAACACTTCAATAGCTTTTTAAATTAATCCTTTTATTAATTGTATATATAAAAATTTAATGGAAGCCAAAGTAAGCTTACATTACCTTGGCTTATTTGTGATCAGTCAACTGTTTCCAAGTCAGCGTGAATAATCTGGTTAATTTAGGCCTACTGACAGCATGTTTGCTTTTTGTACTTACCTTTTGCAGATCTCTTAGATGTAATCTGTGAACCACAATTTGGAAACCAGTAGTTTACATTGCAACCAGTTCTGTTGCTGTGGGCTGCCTGTAACTGGTCTGTGGCAAAGCTGTGCACAGATTGTGATTAGCACTGTGAATTTGATTTGACATTTGGCCAATTTTAACTTATATAAGAAAGAAAGCAATCTTACAAGAAGCATCTACTCCGTGGTTGATACAATACAGGACCGTTTCCCATGGCAGGTCTTTTCAACATACTGTGGCCTGCTAAACTAGTTCATGCACTACCCAGTTACCTTGAGTGATTGACTGGTGTGTAATATTTCAACTGTTTCTATTATTGCAGGAATATTAAAAAGTGAAATCACATCATCTAGTGGTATCATACAGATACACCCTTTCAGTTAATGATGGAAAAAAGGACAGTGGGTTTTCTTTAATGTGTGAAATTACACAGCTGTATCATTTCTCCTTGGGAAGAGGAGAAAATGTTGCCAGTATTTGTCAGATGATGGAGTATGTAGATTTTATAGCATCATTAAGGTTGGAAAAGACCTCCAAGATGGAGTCCAACCTTTGACCTAACACCACCCTATCAACTAGACACTAAAGCAACTAAATGGCGTGTCCTGTGTTTCTTGAATGCCTCCAGGGATAGTGGCTGCACCACCTCCCTGAACACTAGTCACTAAAGCAGCATGGCACTAAATGCCATGTCCTGTCGCTTCTTGAATGCCTCCAGGGATAGTGGCTGCACCACCTCCCTGAACGGCTGTTCCAAGCTTAGCCACTCTTTCAGTGAATAGATTCTTCCTGGTGTCCAGCCTGAGCCTTCCCTGGCCCAGCTTGAGCCTATTTCCTCTTGTCAGTAGTTGCCTGGGAGAAGAGTTCAATTCCCATCTTGCTACAACCCCCTCTCAGGTAGTTGTTGAGGGTGATAAGTTTCATGTCTGATGTGAAAAAATTTCACTGCCATTTTTCTAAGTCAGTAAACATATTTGCAATATATATCTTTAATTTGTCAGTCATTATTTTTTTCCTTAATTGTAGGTAAAGAGAGGACAGTTCAGTCACTGAAAACATCAAGAGATGCATCACCTTCAGGGTCCACAGCAGTACCTTCATCAAAGGTGAATTTTCTTTTTGAGTACTTCACACTGGTTTAGATTGTTCATTGTTGGATTTTTTCCCCAGTTGGAAGGAGATACTGCATACGCCTGTTAAAGTGCATATTCCTTATGGTATTACTTCCTGTTCCTTACATTAGGAATAGGACTTGTTCTTAGAATTCTGTGTCATTGTGAGTATGTTAGTATTACCTCTCATTTTGACACAGACACACCTGCCAAGTATTCAGTGGGGAAAAACCCCAGGCTTTGGTTGTGCCATGTCATTTTAAATGCTTATCTCTTACACATTGCTTTTAGAACTGCTGTGCCAGCTGATTGCCATTGTCCTTAAAGGGGAAGGCAACTGATGAATTTTCAGTGATGTAAATAGGGAAAATAAGATAAAAGCATTATGCACAAGTTACACTGATTTGGATTGTAAAATATACTTTATAATTAGTTTACTACTGAGTTTTTAGACTCAGCACACTGCAGCTTAGTATCAAATCCTTACTTAATACACACCTTTGAGAACAAGGAGGCATTGCAAAATCTTTTGCTCTTGTGTTAATATGTAATGTGAGCTTGAGCTCTGTAAATGTTCTGCTTTCTTCTTCAGTCAGGTCTGATCTATGCTGTATTGGTTTTTTGCCATCAGTTTGCAAGTATGTGCTGGTAGTGAATATCCACTTAATATAGGCTATGCAAAATGAAACTTTGTTTGATGGAAGTCATTTCCCCAGAGAGCATAAGTATTTATTGAGTATGCATCAGTTGCAGAGATGGAAATACTTCTATGACTGTTTATTGACTTTCCACTTCAGTCCCCAAATCTGCTTATAGTGTAACTGCCCTGTGTCAGTGGAGCTTTTTGGAATCAGCCTCTTGGCTGGAGTTGCACTGAGCAGTTAGGTTACCCAAGTGCTTCACTAACTCAGAAGTACTCTTGGCAAAACATGAGCATCTCCAGAGCCAGGGTCTTACAATTTATCAAGGCTGGAGAAATCAGTTATATGCTATATATTAGTGATTACAGGAGATAATTTTCAATGCTCTAAGTTATAATTTAGCTTTGAAATTCTTACAAAGGTATATGTTTCCATAGCAATACTTCTTTTCACCGTAGTATCTATTTGCAGATCTAAAAAGGTATTTTTATCTATAATTATATTTTGCATATTCATGCATGTGAATCAATACCTGTTGATGTTACCTGATCTTAGCCACCTGTTTGACTGTGGCATGAAATCTTCTGTGTTTTTCTTTATTAGCTGTATGGACTGTAAGCCTTGGAGGCTGTATACAAAATAGAGCCGAAGGCGGATGTGTGAGACAGGGACAGCTGCTGAGCAATGTGACAGCCTTTTGCTTTTCTATGTTATTGATGAGAAAAAAAAATACCAAAAAAGAGACATTTCTGGTTTTTTGGAGGTGAGGGGGCAGCAGTTTAAGTTTTTTTAATGAGATCTATTAGGTTGGCTGTTTCTTGCAAGTTTGCAGCCCGAACAGCTGCTGCTGTTTTCAACTGTAAAATACATTCCTGTTCTGTCTCTTCAGAAGTGTACCTGTGCAAATACCATTACTTTATCCCATAAAATTCACCCAGGATTTAATACATATTTATAGCATTCAACCTATAGAATTAAATTTAGTCAGACTAAATTAAACAGATTTTTCTGTATTCCAATATATATTAGTTAATTCCTTTTATGGCTTGTGGAAATACAGCAGGTTGTGTGAGATTTTCTATTAATTATGTTACTCCTTTCTTCTAAGTGCCCTCTTCATATCCCTCCATATTAATCTTTGTCACCTCTGAGTTGACTGGTTGTAATTCTGTAATTTGCAGTTATAGAAAACAGGGATTCCTATTGCAACATTGGGTTGCACTCTTCTTCTGGATTCAGATAAAGGTGGTGTCTTTATGACAGAGAATTTGACAGCAAATGAAATAATTTCAACTTTCTTTTTTCCTATTTTAAAATATTCTAGGGATCAGAATAACTAATTATTTTCATTTTGAAGATTTTTGCCCTGTGTAAGTGTATTTAATGTTAAACCTTAACTGTAATATTTTTGTACAGGCCCTGGAGAAGAGCAACAGACTATCAGAGAAGGAACTTGCAGAAGCTGCAAGCAAGTGGGCAGCTGAACAGTCAGAGAAGGCCGAGGAAAGCAATTTACCTGAAATAACAGAGTATGATGTAAGATAGGATTATTAATCCACTTATTTCCAAGTGTTGCAACAATAGGCTCTTGTTTTTCTGTACTCTTCATAAAGGCACATTTTGTAACTTAATCCTGAATTTTTCTGCCTATGCTGTTAAATATTTGTTGAAAGGGAGTGAGAGGAAGATTAAAACCTTGAGATTTATTTATTTTGAAAAAATACACAAGGCCACAGCACATTTTGTTAGTATAATTTGCATTGATGTTGAGCTATGACTGACACAATGAAGTTTCAGCTTTCCCAAGTGCTCTCCAAAGAGCTCTTGTAGTGTAGGTCTGTGTGCCCACTGAACTCCTTAAAATTAGGAGAGGACTTCTGAGTCAAAACACGAGTGTACGTGTAAAACATAAGACTTAAGGAGAGAATCTCTGGTTTGTTGAGTTCCACGTCAAGCTGTGCCAGCCTACCATGTCATGTATTCTTTTTCAGAAAGCAGTCCTCCATTATATTAAAAATAAACCTTACCTTGTTACTGCAGTGGGTATATTTTTTATTTTCCTCAGAACCCTTATTTCATTATTAATCAAAGTTAATTATTTCCCAGTTTATTTCCTTTTGTTTTCACCCCTTCTTGTAGTCCACTCCTGGCTATGTTGAAGTGAGATAGCCCTTCTCAGTCATTTGTTATACTGCTCTTGGATAAGATGTCTTTTTTGGGTTCTGTTATGTTAGTGGAAAATGTATTTGTCATTTAAAACAACCCAAATATTATGTTATCTAAAATAATCTGTTTCAATTCTGTGATTTTTTTTTTTCTTTAACTTTCACTTTATTTCAACTTTAGAGGCATTCTTAAAAAAAGAAAAATAGTATCTACTTCACAAAGTCATGTCTTAACCTTTCCAATTAATGGGTTTGGTTTTTTAATTTGTTTTAAAATAATTTTAGGGAAAATGGATGTGTCTTGGGAAGTGTCACATTTCCACTTGTAGAATATAAGGGCTAGGTTAGAAAAATAAACTCACTGAATCCATATTTATTTGAACTTTCAAGTCCTGTCCATTGATGTAATGGGTGAATGCATGAGCAGCTCTCAATAGTGGTCAGGAAGATCTAGGTAGATACATAAACTGAAAAAAGCAATTAAAAAAAATAAAAAAGGGGAGGAAGTGTTAGAGTGAAGAAAAAGCAACAGCTGATCCAAGGATGAATACCATATGAGGGAGAACAGATGCATGGACATGTCTGAGAGGTTCAGCAGAGAAATATCACTGTGGTTCTTGATGAGGGAAAGGTAATGGGAGGAAGGAAAGAACAGAGTGGGCCACATGGAGAAGAGTTGTTTAAAGCATCCTCCACACCTCAGAGAAAATTGCAGTGGCAAAAAGATTAAACATATGGAATCCAAGTGAAGCAGTTGTAGTTGGTTGTGGTGCAGTCTGAGATGATTTATTGACTGAGAAGGTGGGCTGTAGAAATGCTAATGAAGGAGGTGAGGCATCTCATTCTGAGTCTTAGAACAAAGGACTTTTTACCTTGATTAGTAGGCTGTCACATATGAATTGCAAGAATTCTTACCTTTTTCCTGTTTATCTCACATAGTGCTTAATACTTGAACTTTGTGTTGCACTGAACTTTTTAGCAGCTTTCACTTACTCTCAGGCATTTTACTCTTCACTGGGATTTGGGATTCAATCTGAATGGTTTGTGTTGCTGCTAAGGTTTGAGCAGATGTTCACAGGACCACTTAACCTTTTTACTTCCTTTTCCTGTCTAATGCTTTTCCCTTTCATGTTAATTAAGTCTTAAGATTCGTTACCTTTGCTATTTAATAATAGAAACTAGTTTTCATCATCTTCAATTTTCAAATCCTATTTAAAAAAAAATAATTATAAATTTGTTCTATAATATTTGATTTAAATAATGCTGTAAAACAGACCTGTTATATTTTCTGTATAAACTCCTTGGGGGTAGCATGTGTTTTCTTTGGAGTAGGAATACTGTCTTAATTTCTGTTCTAGAGGGAGAAATCTTCAAATCACGTTTGCTTTTGCTATGCGAGTTTTTGCAATAATAATAATAGACCTGTGGCCCTGAATGCTTCAAGAGTTCTCCCTGACAGCATTTTTATTTTGTTGATGCCTCTGTACCTTTGCTTTTGTTACTTTTGTCCTTTCCCAGAAGACTAGTCACGTTTTCATTGTGGATTTTTCTTGCATTCTGGTGTTACAAATACCACATACAAAAAATTTCTTCTCAGTGGATAGGCTGGTAGAGGTAATCTACATCATTGCCTTTACACAGTTAAGGCTGTGTCACAGGGGGTTTTATCGTGTTATGTTTTCTACCTGTTTAAAATCTGTATTTCTGTATCTGTGAAGACTGTAACAATAACACTTTACTAATAGTCTTGATGAGCAAACTCATATCTCTGATGACTGTGTTTGGGCTTTTAGGGCTTTTTCATCATACTGTGATTGTTATTTTTCTCTGAAAACTGAATTTGTTTGGTTTTTTTTTTTAAGGCTGGGTCTTCAGCTCCATTATACATTGAGCAAGCAGAGGAAACAGAGGCAAATCTGACGGATAATACGGAATTATACGAGGACAGCCAGCTTCTAGGTCGTTCAAAAGCAATTGCAACTAAGACAAAGGAGATTGAACAGGTGAGTATTCTTGGCATTTTGTCGCTAATGCAGTAATGGTTTGCTCTGCTAAAATCACCTTGATTTATTTTTTCCTCCTCCTTGGAGTGTAATATGAATGTAATTTGATTTTTCAAGATGATGTGGTATCATCTCCAACAGTTTAATTCCGAAGAGCCATGGCACTTATTTGCACATGGAAATTAATGGTAGTTTTCTGCAACTTAGATACAACAACTGCTGTTTTGCAAGCTCAGCTAAGACAATGACAGACTCTTAATTCTAGTGGCCTTTGTTCAGCTGCCTGTGAGGGCCATTTCCTGGGCTGCAGCACTGTTCGTTTTTATTGACACTTGAAAATCAGATATCTAGTCTATTGGTTTTGGGGGTTTGGTTTTTTTATTTTCTCTTCTCTTAATATTGACTTTGCCTAATCATGTTCATGGTGGGCACAGCTTTCCCTGTGTGCAGGGTCTGGCTGGGATGGAGTTTTACCAGAGTGTGCTGTAGCTGTGAGAGCCATGATGCAGTTGGTTTATCCCTCTGTGCCTGATCACAGGGTCACAGATGGCCTAAAAGAGCTAGTACCAGATGCATAAACTTAGAACTTTTTAAAAATTACAAACTGGAAAAAAAATACACAGGCTAGGAAAAGATTTTTTTAAAATAGCTGTTGTGATTAATTAGCCTCATGCTAGTGAACATATGGTTAAATTTCCCTAGGCTCAAGGACAGAGTTATAGTGAAAACAGATGAAAATTTGGTCATAAAACCCAAATATTGTTTTCCATATGATCTAATCCTACTGTGTTTGGTAGAGTTTGCACTTAATTCTAGGGAAATCTAGATTATGTTCTATAAAATGGACCTATTAGGACCTTAGTTCAGAAAAGCCTGAGGAGTAACTTAAATTTGGATTTTATATAACGAGTTTCTTCTGTTGTTCATTTGAATATTGAAGCTATCAGCTTCTGCAGAATTTAAATAAGATTCTAGAATGATGCTAGAAGTATTTTTCTGAATTGAACAAGATGCTTATTTTCTTATAATCCATGAACTGTGAACTTGTTAAGATTTAGACAAGATATTTACTTAATTTTCCAGTCTTAATTTTTAATGATTATCTACATATTTTTCACATAAATACTTAAAATTAACTTCTGGATCTGCAATTAAATTTTCTGGGTTTAAAAAAAATTGTTGGGGTAGACCTGTTGATTTTCATAATGATCATGACTATCATAATGAGTCATCGTAATAAAATACTGTGAATCTTCGTACTATGTATGGAACCAGTCTGTAAAAATTTGTATACTAACCTGTTTACTTTGAGTTCTCAGCATCTAAAAGTAAATTTAAATTAACATTTAAATCTATAAAGTGAACTGTAAGCTTGTACATTTATAAAAAAGCTTTTTTGTAATTTATTTCTGATTGTTTGTGTTGAGGACTCAAGTAATAGCAGAAAAATTATTTGGCTCGATGGACTTCTTTGCAGTTAAATTTCATTCAAGTGTTTAATGTAGTATTTCTGGAATGTAATTTTGTGGGAGGATTACTAAAATAAAATGCTTATTGCAAAGACTTATGCTGCAAGAATGGTGAAGCTGTAATCCTTCTGCAAAGCAAGATTTTCAAGAGGTTGTTTTTCAGTATGCACTGGACAGTTATTTAGATATTTAAAATAAGCAAGAAATGACGTCAGGGCATGTACCACTGGGTATATGTTAAAGAATTGGTGAGGGCCCAGCTAATGTTTGAAAAAGTGAGGTTTGACCCATTGAACTACTTCTGTCTCCTACACTTTTCTTTCTCTCGGAGCACCAGATTGAATGTTGTTTGCTTTTTGGTTTGTATTTATTCTCAGCCTGATTGCCAAGTGTTTCCTGACTGTTCCAGACTCCTGATAAAGCCTTCTTTGCTTTGCCCTCTCCATATCCATTTGTCTCCAAAGCTCTAACCTGCAAAAGGAGCAAAATTTTCCAAATATGTACTTCATAGGATGGTACTATTTCCTCTGGGAAAACCCAGAGGCAAAAAACTGTGCTGACAGAACATGCACGGTGTTGCAATGAGCAAATCCATTGCTGTGCAGCAGAGAAACAGGCAGCCTGATGCCTTGGGCAGGAGGGAGGTGGCAGCTTGTGATCTAGTCTGTTTTTTCTCTTAAGAAAAACAATCAAAAATATCCCTTGAGCAATTGAATGAAATATTCATACAGGTGTTCTGTTTTAAATGAGCCCATGGCAGTATCTTGCGTATCGCTCCTATCACTCTTTTGTAAAGTTGCCTCTGCCTTTTCTCTTAAGCTACAATAACACAATTGCTAGTTTCAGAATTTTAAATGAAGCATGATTGTAAGTGATCACCCTGGCTCATCAAGAAAAAGTTGTATGTTATTTATTTGAAGTGGGACTTACTGCAAACATTCATGCTAAATCATGTCATTTGAAGAAAAATGAATTTCTTTGTGTGCTGATGATGACAGGGCAAAATGTGTCAAACCAAGGGCTAGTTGCTGTTTGCTATATAGTGTCTGTCTTTTAGGAGTCTGCAGTTGCTTTGCAAATATTAACTGAAGCTGACATAAAGAGAGGAAACTAGAAGTTCTGCTCACGGATAAAGGCTTGGAAAAATCCAGACACTGTTTAAACAGAGCCAAGAATTATCTGTGTTGCTCCCAAACTAGAAAAACTTTGAAGTATATATTTCATTTGAAGTGTGCCAATATTACTTGGAAAGGAGGGGTATGGTTGCAGATGCACAGATGCTTGAAAACATTTCTGAACAGGGACTGCAGATCCTGGGCATTTTTGTCTCATCTTTGAAACAACAGGCGTAGTGACATTCTTGTGGAAACACCTAGGGCATAGGACTTACCCCAGCCCATCTCCTCAAAACAGGGCCTTAGATCAGGGCGTTCAGGGCTCTGTCTGTCAAACTGAGCCCTGCCTATTTAAAGTGAAGGAGGCTCCGCTGTTTCCCTGGGCAGCGTCTTCCAGTGTCTTGAGCTCTCTGTCTTGAACTCAGCTGCCATCACATTCCAGAACATGGTTTCTTTCCACCAAGGACACGGTTTCTGCTCACTTCTTCTTTTGACAACTTTCTGTCCGCATTCTTGAAGTGCAGAATCCCATCTCCTTGTTGTGGTCCCCTGCTTTTGGGACCTGCCCCACTGGGAGTGGGCTCTGCTGCTCTCAGGGAAGGGTTGATTTCCTAGAACACCCTGGCTCTGACACTTCATGGTTGGAAGAATAGGGTTTTTTCTGGCACTTCTGTGTGGCAGGTACTGTGGAAATGTTTCCCTTCAATCCAGGCGCAGTCTTTTCAATCTTTGTTCTTCTGCATGGAGCGGAAATTGTGCAACATTAATGTGTGTCTCATATTTTAATATATCCCATTATATGTTTTTTCATGTTCTCTCCTTAATAAAAAGCTCTGGAGAGTTTTGGTGGTTTTTTTTTGTTGTTTGTTTGGTTTTTTTTAATAGAATACTGAGATAATTAACTTTCTGGGTTGGGATGTTTTTTGATTATTTGGTTGGGGTTTTTTTTTGAAGTTAGGTGTTTCCTTAGATCTTTGAACATGCATTTCCCTCTTTTCTTTGCTTTTACGGTTTTGAAATAAGGTGTTAAATGTTGTCTGAGCACCCCGCCTGAGCTGGGTGAAGTAGAGCCCCATTAAACAGATGCTTAAACGATTGGTCTGGTTACTCGTAAACAGCATTGTAGTGAATTTTGCATCTGCATGTCAGGATCAATGTATGTGTATAGTTTGCTAATGTAACCATTTCGTGCACTTTTTAAATATCTTTGCATTTAATGACATTCATTACGCTTTAAGTTAAGATTTTGGAGTTGTTTAGTTTCTGGTTTTATGTAGTTAAGGATCAGCTTATGCTTTTAGCATGTAATGTGCTGAAGTGTGGTGGTTTTTTTCGGAAGTGATGACAAATGTGTCCCTGGTGTTAAATTCATGATTGGAGCTATTCAGCATCAGTGTTGCACAAAAGGCTATCTCTTTGTTCTTCCTTCATGAGCACGGGTAGCAGGGATTCTTGAAATGTCTTATCTTGTCTAGACATCAAGTCTATAACACTGTGTTAATTAGTCCATTATTATGTGTCCACTTTTCTTACATGTTGCATATTCAGGTTGGGGTGACATGTATTACGTCTGAAAATCTATTATTTTCTGAAGACAAATTTCACCAAATGCCAATTTTACCACGTACCCTCCTTGAATCTGTCAAAAAAATTTAAACCTCTGAGTTTCTGTCTCAATTTGGCTAGTGCCACAGATTTCTGGCATCTAAGGAATTAATTAAGTACAGGAATGAATACATTCATGAATGCTTTTTTATTCTTAATGGCTGACTGTATGCTTTCAGTTCACCAATGTTTTTAAATGTTCAACAGAACAATATTTTTTAATGTTTAAACATTTAGTTTAATTGCTTCTTTAGCTGACATTCTAAATTGATATTGCTTGTTAGAGTCCTCAATAGTATTAATGAGCTGTTGTCCTAATGGGACTGCCTTGTTGCTGGAAGATGCTGAAAATCAGAGATCTTTCTAAAGAAGAGGTGTTTCCTGTTTCCCTTCTGTCATAGCTCTTGTTCTGGTAAGATCTATATAGCAGCAGCTGAATTGTACTTGTGTGTACTTAACACTTGTTAATGGGACTGTTCTCCGGAGATGCTGCTCTGAGAGAAGACTGACTTCTCACAAAGTGATATTTTACACTGAAAGCACTTTGTTAAAATTTTTGGTTTTAATATCAACAAAGCATGACTAAAATTATACAGACATTTCTGTCATAATAAAATAGCTACAGTTTGTGTAGTGTATGGGAGTTTACTGTATGCCTTCCTCACTGCCCCCAACCCCTCTTGTGTCCTTTGCTATTTTGTTTTGCTTCAGGCAAAACTATTTTGTAGTTCTTTAACAGGATAAAGATGAAAGAGGATGTAAACATGAAGTAGCTTCTGCATCTATGTCTGGGGATAAGCTCATGGTAAAT